GCAGGCTGCTGCTTTACGGCGTGGGACGCCACCCCCCAGCTCCCTGAGTCAGTGTGCGTTTCCATGGAAACTCCAGCCGACACCTGCTGACATGCATGCGTGTGCTGCGGCGCTAACTGAGCGGCTCTCCAGATGAGCGGGCCTCAGCAGGGGGGGCATCAGGGCCTCTCCTCTCCCCCGGCTGGGGGCCCATTCTCACCAGCCGGGGTCACATTCCCGTCTGCACAATCTCGGCTTGTCATGCTGCCTGGAGGCACTGGATTGCTGGCTGGTAGTCCTCCACCACAAACTCAATCCTAGTGTCTCCAGAGGTTGTAAATTAGGTGATGGGGCCGTAAAGTTCTCTACCAAGCATCTCTGTCACTTTGATTAGCAGAAGTCTACGAGATATCATTTGAACAATGGGAGGGACCCCCCAAACACGCAGTGAATGCAACACATGAGCCCGGGTGCTTCTGTGGGGCTCCAGCCCACAGGGAGCTCATGAATTACAGAGCTGTTGTGACTGGTTCTTTCAGCTTTTCAGGGGTGGTCACCAGACATGATCGGTGTCTAGAAGGTCTGGTGTCGGACACAGGGAGTCAAGAGAATTCCCCTCATTCACTCTGCTCCTCCATGGCTTTCCCGCTGAAAGAGACACCGTCCATTCATTCCCACATTTTTCAGGAAGTTTCAGGGTTGCAGTAGCAACAGGTGGAGCCCTGGAGCCCAGCGATCTGCCGTAAATATCTCCAGATGCTCCTGGAGACTCCAGCTACGTCCTCGCAGGCAGCCTGGAACAACATGGCCTCCCCAGTGGCTGATATGAGGAGGTCACCACGCACAAAACTGGTCTCTAAAACAGACTTTTGGTAGAAATCAGCATTCTCAAATTGCTGGCTTGGTCTTCAGTGGCTTCAGTGAGCACACTTGGATGAGATGGAGGAGCCGAAAAGTGATAGCTGCCATCAGCCGTTGCTGCATTGGTTTCCAAAACATTTCCAGGGGATTGGGTTGCAGACGGAGGAGGGTTGCTTTGACAGGGAGTGATCAGCTCACCACGTCCATGTTTACTCTCTTTGTGTGGTCAAGCCGTAGTGAGTCCTCCAGGACCCAGTTTGGGCTCCGGATTGAAAAGAGGTGCGATATTCAGGATGGATCCTCTTTCTTTCTGTGCGGTATCAAATGGCAGAGATGTTGGGTTTAACCTGGCTTTGCTCAGTGTGTGGAGGGAACGTTGGTTTGAATGTTGTTTGTTGGTGAACCCTTGACCCTAACCCTATCCCCTACCCTAACCCCTACCCTTTAACCATATCCCCTAC